TTTCTGCCTCTCCCTGCTGTCAAACATCCCATAATAACCGTTAGCCTCATTTTATTTATTCTACAAAGTTGTTTTTCTTTAGTTTTGGTCTAAAATCCCAGATGTGAGGAGCACACAGAGTTTGGATTTTCCCTGCCCCCCCTGAAGGCACCACCCTGTTTACCTGTGACCGTCACCTGACCGCCTGCGAACACCTACAGAATAAAGACCCTCATCGGCTCCTGTACCTGTGCCAATGAAGGCCACCGTTTATTCTCCATCCCAGGAGGGAAGCGCCATTTTTATCTTAAAATGACTCGAACCGAACCGAACTCCCGGCTTCAGAGATTAGATTGAAGGGGAGAGATTCCCTCCGCTGACATCCGGATACATCCCGCCCTGCCCCTGCTGTCGGCCTCCCCCCTCCATCACCCCCTGCATCCCCCCTCCTGCCTCACCTCCTGGGGGGCGCTCGGCTCCGGGAACAGGTCCTCTCCGTCCTCCACCTCATGGAAGTCGGTTCGGTCCGGAGGGGGGTCCCGGGATGTGTCCGCCATGGTCCTGCTGCTAACGGAGATCCAAGGGCTGGGGAGCTGACAGGAAGGGAGGAGGAGCGGGAGTCAGGAGGTTCTCCTGCTGCGTCATGTGACCGTCCCGCTGGGAACCAGAGAGGGGCGGGAAGAACAGGATGTCTCACTCTGATCTCTGATTCATGCTTAGCTCAGAAATTCTGTGGAAAGAAGTTATAGTTCTAGTAATATAACAGGGAAAATCATATTTAAAAAAATAATTCTTTACTGATTTTGTATTTATTTATTGGTGATTTATTTAAATTTTTTTCCTATTCAAATGTTAGCTTTTTAAAATAAAATCAAAATCATCTCTTGCAATTCAGATTTTTTTTTTAAATATGTATTTTCCTTCTTTACCTATTTTATTTAATAAATATTTCTATTAAGAGTTTAGCGTTTTGAATAAACTATTTTCAAACCGCTCTTTACATTTTTTATTTATTTATTAAAGTCATGACCTATATGATTACAGTCAAGTGATTATGCATATCAAAAATGATAAACATTCAAGAAAGATGATAAAATATATGTATAAAGAGGGTAATAATATAGAACATAAAGGATAAAAAAAACTAAAATCCACTAAATAAGGATGAGACTAATGGTTAAATAGGGGTTTTCCATAAAAACTGGCTTCTTTTAACATAGTTTAACAAAGTTTTTAGTCGTTGGTTTCTTTCCAAGACGCACAATTCTTTAAGAGCAA